TTCTATGGACTAAATAATAAAACAAGCCAGTGTACCATTAAAGTTGCGTAGTGATATAAAGTTACCTCCAGTTTAATAAAAAAGCAGATGGTGATTAGCATAGTATAGAAGGATAGAATCATTCGTCAAGAAACTACTCGTAATTTGACTTTATAATCCGGGTTTATGAAGGTAGGTAAACTACGTCACCTTGCAAAGTCAACATAGTCTATATAAAGTAGTACCTTTATATCTGATGTGTCTAGAAATTAATAAATCTTTGGAAATTTTCATAAATGTTTGACAGGCGTAATTAGAAATCCAAAGGGTTCTGACTCATATACAATAATAACACAATATTTAGAATAAATACAACATAAACTTGTTCTAAAATAGGTACAACTTTTTTTTTATAAGACAACTCCCGCATTAGGAATATATATCCTGTGTCGCGGGACTTTATAAACATACATGAAACGGAAGCAAAGAACACCCAGACTCAGAATAACAATTTATGTAAGTATGTAACTAAGTTGGTGGTAAAAATAGCAAATAGGTTAGTTATAGATAGGATCAATAAACACACTGTGCAGGCGTCAAACTGATATTGCTTGGAAGTAATTACACGCCAATCATATTAGATCGAAATTCACTGGAATCCTCGCTGTCAAGTCAGTACATAACTCCCTTGTGTGTTCTAGTGACCTTAACCAAAAGAAAAATGTAATTATTTAATAACTTTTATGAGGTTAAGTGATGAACTGACTGAACCTATTAAAACTCGTATATATGACAAACTTGTTTTCAAAATAAAATCATTAGAGGACTCATGCCTTATGCAGTATCTCTCCGACATTTGAAGTTATATCTTTTTTTAGGCCTATTAGCCTAGTGGCTATCCATGTGGTGATGCATTAAGAAAACGAAGTGTCACCACGCCTATTCATCCCGTGGGTGTTGTAAGTGCGGACTCAGGGAGCAAACAATGCAGGACAACAGCACTGCAAAAAGAAGGAAAACTTGAAACAAACCCTATACCACCATGGTTGGTCAGCGTGGTATAGTAGACAAAAACTTCCTTTTTAAGAAGAGGCCTATGTTCTGACTATTGAAGGCTGTTGAAGATGATGTATTTTCCTAATGGTTGTCTTGATCCTGTCTGCTAAGCGAGAGTTCGTTGGTGGGAATCAACCCACGACCTAGGGCTGATGACACGGAATGATACCGTGTCACTAGCCACTTAACCAATAGGTCCCTCAGTTACGCCATATCTGCTCCGACGTATTAAATTTCAAAAATATTCTACGACATCATTTTACGGGTCACTTCAATAAAGACTTGGATCAATGTTCAATTCAAAACAGAAAGAACCCTTTGTCGCTATGTTACTATAAGGGTTGCTAATAAAGGAACTTGTTTTGAATGTTTATTTTGGGGCCCCGTAGGCTTATAAAAAGATAAAAGACTGCTATTATATAAAACATCTTTGAAGTAAGGCACCGTGTCGTTTGTTGTACTACAGTGTATTTCAGTTACTATAGTTAAGTCATAAAATGATAAAATTAAAATCTCAAAACTCAAAAACAGTCTCATAACAAAAATTATCTCTTTAAATTGTATCTCTGTATCATGATATTATATTTATTTAATTTATTATAGTAAGCTTTATTCTTATCTTCCATTTTTCTACTGTACTATAATACTACAACTGTCCGTGTGGTGAAAGATTTAGAATACAGAGCGTCACCACCCCTATTTATCCTGTGGGTGTCAAAGCCGACTAAGGGAGCCAACTACGTCCAGTTACGGTCTAGCAGTGGACTATTTAAGGCTGTTGATGATAATAATGATAATAATACTATTGTATAGCCTAATATCAAATGCTCATCACCTTTAAAAAAAAAAAAGTTTATTCCCGACGCAAGGATGTTGAAACTATAGAGGTCTCCTAGTTGGCACTTTGTAATGATACGCGTTCTTAAAAGCAAAATTGCTTGTAAACTGTAGTAAAATCATTATTTTACTACAGTTTACAAAAGCAAAATTTCTTATATACTAACTGTATATTTAAGCAAATTGCTTATATATACAGTTTATTATAGTTTTTAAAAGGTGGTGAGTGTGGTGTTCATAATCACTTTTACTTATCATCAAGCGCTTTATGAGAGAAAATACACGGATATATGTGGGTAAACGAGCAGACGGGTCGCCTGGTGAAAGCAACTACCGCCACCCATGGGTATTCGAAACACAAGTCATAAGTGCGTTACCTTTTTGTGTCCTTCCCCCACAAGCAGGGGAGTTGGAAGGTTATGGCTTCGGTAACCTCACACAATCGGTGAAATACACGTAACAATAACTTGACACCGGTCTTTATGAGGCCGTGGTATTACTCCTGTCAAGACGGCACATTTGACTTTTAAGAAATTATATAATAATAACCAAACCACTATATGTAGATTTGCCTATAATATTTGAAAAGTTCGTGTGGTGGCGGATAAGGAATATAGAACCAATTACGGGAGCAAACTACGCAGGACAACAGCACTGGCAGGAGAAATAAAACTTGAAACAAACCCTATACCAATCCTTTTGGCCAGCGTGGTTTAGTAGGCCTAAACCTCCTTTCTAAGAAGAGACCTATGTCCAGCAGTGAGCTAATTAAAGACTGAGATCATAAGGATGATGATTTGAAAAGTGCTCTCGATGTCGCTAAGTGTATCGCACGACCAGATCCTGAGCTCATTACAATATGACCAAAGAGAAAGAATATTACGATTCAAATAAAAAATAATTTTCTAAATCAGTCCAGCCTTCTTTGAGTAATTACTCAAAGACGGCTACCACTGAATTACAGTTACATAGATAAAAAAAGATCACGAAGAATGAAAACCAACCTTTTATAAGTCAATTAAATATTATAAGAAGGCAAATTCCATTTAAAACATTGATAGTAGAATCGAATATAACCAGTATCGAATGGCGAAGCTGCAAATTTCAAGCGTGTTTTATAGTCACAGATATTTTTTGTGTATTATAATAGCTCTGTTCAAATTTGGGAGTCAATTCAAGTCACTTCCATTAATTTGGTCCACCTACAGCAATAGACATTCAACTTGGAGTTTAGTCACTTATAATAGGCCTCAATATCAATTGAAGATCCTTTCGTCGGTCTTATTTTACTTTTTATTTTATTTATCAAGACATATTAAACACAAACATTCTAATACAGTACTCATTTAAATCAAATACACATACTACTCTAATTACAAATATGCACAGTATTCACATATAGATTTACAACTTACCTTTATATTTAACTTAAAACTTTAAGTGAACAGCAGACTAGATTATAGTAAAAGAAACTTCTGAAAATATCCTACCCCATGAACTTAGGTATAATAAATTAGCGTCGTATAAGATATCAATTCCAAGTCGCCTTTAACTACAATTAGGAGTAGGAACAGAATGGGTTTCCAATAAACCAACAACAGCTGGGTGATTGATTGAACTGTAATGTAGAAATATCAAGACGTAATGAAGCCACAGAAATAACGCAATATTCATATAAACTAAAATTACAACGAGATAATTAACGATATGTAGATGACTGGCGTTTATATGACTTGTAAATTAATTTAAATAAGAGTAATAATAAAATAATTGACCTTCCTAGCCATTCCCGCGCAGGACAAATATTGTTTGATGAGCACGGTCATTTGTTCTGTTGGGTGTAATTTATCCATAATATGTATGTATTTAAAAATATATAAGTATGTTTATCACCAGTGCCGTGTGTGAGATGTGTAAAATATTATTTAAAAAAAAATAACCTAGTAAATTTATAAAAAAGCAGATTAATAAACACAATTAGAAAGCTGAAAAGATTGTTGTTTGTTTGGTGAACGCGCTAATCTCAACAATCACAGGTTCTAATAGAAAAATTCACTTAGTGTTGGAAAAAAAAATCTCATCAATGCAAAATGCATCAAAATAGGGGGAAAAAAAATTCAGAGATGCAAACGAAGTTGTTTGGTTCAGCTAGTATGTATATAATAAGGACTCAAAGTTATGTATTGTAAAAATTAAAACAACTTCTGAACATAATAAAAATTAGTCCATATTGTTAAATAAATATGTATACCTGCATATAATATAGTAGGGTCATTTTCATTAAAAGGCTTAAACATATTATGTAGTGCCTTTCTATTAAGTACTAGCTGGTACCCACGACTTCGTCGCGTAGAATTTGAAAAGCGCTGCCTTAATGGGTTCAACTGCCGGACCGGGCAAAATTTTGAAGGGTTTTTCTGAGAGGAAAAATAGTCTTAGTTACTCTTTGTATAGATAGCTACCTTATCAAAATCAGTCCAGCCGTTTAGAAGATTAAACAGATAGACAGACAAAAAAATTAAACTGGCATAGATATAGTGCAAAGAACCGTGTAAGCATGAAAAAAACCTATTATTGTGACATTACAAACAGACACTTCAATTTTATTTATTTGTATGTCACCACCCCAATTCATCCCGTGGGTGTCGTAAGAGCCGACTAAGGAAACGAACTAAGCAGGACAACAACACTGCAAAGAGAAGGAAAACGTGGAACAAACCCTATGCAAACCCCAAAGAGGTAGGCCAAAACCTCTTTTCTAAAGAGAGGCCTATGTCCAGCAGTGGACTATTAAAGGCTGTTGATGTATGTAAATATATTGATTAAAAAATAAGTAGGTAGGTAGTACATTCTATTAATAGTAAACTATTGTTACTTTGCTATTCAAATCGAAGCTCACACTGTAAATGAAACAATTTAGCTGCTAGCTTGCAAGCTTTCAGTCAGTTCCTCCCAGTTTCAATATTTAGTAGCTCTGATCCCACCGATGTGAGAGGACGCTCTCTCCCGCCTCGCTTCCGATTGCTGCGAACATCGAAGTTTGCTGAAATTAAAATGTTATGTTAATAGTAACGTACTTAAACATATTGTTAGTGTGATGTGATTCCTTTCGGATATAAACTACTTCGATGCCGGGTGAGTTTTGGGTGAAGTTGTAAATAATACATAGCTACACTGAGACAGATTAGACAACGTTATCACAAATCAAAACCTAAAGTAGGTTGTTCTATAAATTCTAGAACACAAATAAAGAAACTTATTTTTTTATATATTTTATTTCCACAAATATTTACATTAAGCAGAAATCGAACCATCGACATCGAACATGGAACCCGCAACATCGAACGTCGAACATTGTTTGTATATGACGACTTATCCTAAGATAAGTATTTAAGAAATATTACAAAATATTTTCTTCGTGTATTAATGTAGTATAGATACCTTTGACTTGACTCTTTGTATTGTAGGTCCCACGTAATAAGTCCCACGTTTCCTGATAACAAATGAAGTACATACTAACAATTTCCCCTCTTTAGGAAATGCTCTCTCTAGGAAATGTAACAAAAAACATATACAGCATAGGACCAATGTTTTAAGTTTAGTAAAAAAAGTTTATTTTGATGGTGTAACTTTATGGCTTTTCTTTTATTTTTTTACTTTTAAAAGTTTGTTTAGAGATGTACCTATATCTACAGACATACATGTAATATGTGGTTAGGAAAGCGAGTCAATGCTTTTAATTAGTTCGTTGCCAGTGCAAGTATTTTTTACTTATGTTAGCTTTAGAAACAAACTTTGTATAAGAATCTAATTAAAATAAGATGTATACATACAACAACATTATTTAATAGTCCACTACTGGACATAGGCCTCTCCTTAGGAAGGAGGTTTTGGCCTACTATACCACGCTGGCCGGACGGGTTGGTATAGGAGTTTTTTTTCACGTTTCGAGAGGGTGCTCTCTGCCCGCATCGTCCGGCACCTCTGCGAGGTTGGCCCCGATCTGTCGGACGCCCAATTCGGTTTCCGAGAGGGGCGTTCGACGATCGATGCCGTGATGCGCCTTAGGGCCGTGACCGAGGAGGCCGTGAGCTGCGGCGGAGTGGTGTTGGCGGTGTCTTTGGACATCGCCAACGCCTTCAATAGTCTGCCATTCAGCTGCATCAGGGAAGCGCTCCACTACCACGGAGTGCCGGAGTACCTGAGGCGGCTGGTGGCAGACTATCTTGAGGAGCGAACCGTCATGTACGAGGACCGAGATGGCGTCTTGAGACGCAGGGCCATGTCGTGCGGTGTTCCGCAGGGGTCTGTCCTAGGACCACTCCTGTGGAACATTGGATACGACTGGGCCCTACGAGGGCGTCTCTCCCCCGGGCTGGGTGGACTCTGCTACGCAGATGACACTTTAGTCACGGCCCGGGGGGCTAACTTCCAGGAGGCGGCGCGCCTGGCCGCCACGGGAGTTTCCCTGGTGGTCGGGCGCATTGAGGCGTTGGGTTTGCGGGTGGCCCTGGATAAGACGGAGGCCCTATTATTTTATGGGCCCCGTCATGGTCCACCCGCCGGCGCCTCAATCGAGGTCGGCTCGGTCCTCGTACCGGTCCGGGCCCAGATGAGGTACCTGGGTCTGGTCCTAGACGGTAGGTGGCTCTTCGACGAGCACTTCCGACAGCTTGGTCCGAAGCTGGTGGACACTGCCTCCGCCCTAGGGCGACTTTTGCCCAATTTGGGCGGGGCCAGTGTTCCCACGAGGCGGCTGTACGCGGGGGTTGTCCGGTCCATGGCGCTTTATGGTGCACCGGTGTGCGTGGCGGCTCTGACCGCCCCGAATAGGGCGCGCCTCTGGCGCCCCCAGAGGATATTGGCGGTCAGAGCCATACGCGGATACCGCACGGTGTCCACCGAGGCGGCTTGTGCCTTGGCCGGAACACCCCCGTGGGATTTGGAGGCGGAAGTGCTCGCCGAAGTTTATCGGCGAGTGGCTGACTTCCGGGCGTAGAGCGGATTTCCCCCTTCGCCCGAAGACGTGCGCGAGTGGCGCGAAGCCGCTCGCCGAGCCACCATGGTCAGATGGTCGTTCCGGCTGGAGACTCCACGCGCTGGCTTCGCCGCCGTGGAGGCTCTCCAGCCGGTCATCGCCGAGTGGGCAGGGCGGCAGCACGGGACCCTTTCCTTCCGGCTGACGCAGGTGCTTTCCGGGCACGGTTGCTTCGGAAAGTACCTGTACTCGGTCGCTAGGAGGGAATCGAGTCCCGCCTGCCACCACTGCGACTGCAGTGAGGATTCGGCCCAGCACACGCTGGCGGTTTGCCCCACATGGGCGGCGCAGCGCCGGGCCCTCACTGCAGTCATCGGAGCAGATCACTCGCTGCCGGCCGTAATTCGCTCCATGGCCGGTAGCGACAGTTGTTTTACCGCGGTCGCAACCTTCTGCGAGGAGGTAATCTCGCAGAAGGAGGCGGCGGAGAAGGCCCGGGAGGACGACCTCCACTCGGACCTGATCCGCCGCCGGCGAACCGGGCGGCGGAGGCGCGCTTACCTGCGCCTCATGCCGCCCTGAGTGTGGCCGCGGGTGGACGGGATGGGTTCTCCCCTCCACCCGCATTAGTTGGCCAGCCGCGAGGGGGCGGCGTCCGCGTGTGCCGGACGCCGCCTAAAAAGGGAGGTCCTGGAGACGGAGCCCGCACCAGGAGCGGGCTGGCGCTGGGAGGGGTCCAGAAGGCGATATCTACCTGGACCCCTCCTAAACTGGAAGCGCAAAGAGGGCACACCGTGTGGTTTTAGTCGGTTCGAGTCCGACACACCGCCCCGCCGAACGAGAGCCCCGGCGGGGTGACGGTCCGAGGGGATTTCCACACGTAAAAAAAAAAAAAAAGGAGTTTTTTCACGTTTTCCTTCTCTTTGCAGTGCTGTTGTCCTGCGTAGTTTGCTCCCTTAGTCGCCTCTTACGACACCCACGGGATGAATAGGGGTGGTGACACTCCGTATTCCTAATCCGTCACCACACGTAATCATATAAAAATGTAACCAAGACCTTATTCTGATTTTGCAAATAAATATTATTTTATTTATTAATATTTATCGTAATGTTTAATTTCAATTAATTCGTAATATTTTACATCTTAAAAGTAGCATTTACACTTTACTTAAGTTTGTGTTTACATAATGTTGTAGTATTTTTAACGATTACCTTTAATAAAATACATTAACTAATTGTAATGTAATTTTGAATATTTTAATTATGATTTCGTCAGTTCATACTGATAACATGTAAAATCGTGTAAAACATGTAAAACATTTTTTTCATCAAGGTTCATGGATTTTTAGACCCTGATTTTTAATTGATATATTATTAAAAGCCAAATTTAATAACTTTATACCAAAAATCTACTACTATATTCAGAAAACTAATTAAGGCTGTACATCATAGGTGACCTTGTCTCTATACAATGACCTTTAACAGTATATGACATTCGAAACAAAAAATAATTTCGGCAACATTACTCTGCCTAATAATGCGAGACCTAGCCTATTTGCGGTTTGAATTTCAATGATTTCGGGTTCATTCACATATGTTTAAGTGTCAGTCATAGAGGGGTCACCTATTTACTTTTATTCACTCACGCGAATAAGACTTTAAGACCCGTATTTTAAAAAACGTCTTAAGTATCGGTTGAACTCTGATTGACTGAAACTAGTTTAAGGTGCATATCAAAACTTACGTATCGATCTTATTATAGAACGCGTTTTAAGTTTTACTCAGTTGAAACTAGTTTCAAGTATTGTTTTGAAGTTACAGTCTGTTCTTAATTACGTTTCCGCATGATTGACATTATTATTCCATATTACGCAGTTAATTATTTAAATAATAAATTTCTGTTACAAAGATTTTTTTTTTTTAATCTTTTTTTTTTAATAAGGGGTTTTTATCCAAAGGGATACAAAGATAATTTCTGTGAATTTGCACATTGTATGCTATTGGCTAGTGTAGCAATGTTAACATATAAACAAGCTTGATGTGCGTCCAAAATTAAATATAATAAATATCAAATTTTATTTTTATATTTCTAAAAATATATAAATAATTTCTAAATGTATATTACTAGAATAATATTATACTTTTAACACAAACCAAAAGGTTGGGGTGATTTTAATTTAAACAAGTGTGTGTTAAATGTGAATTTCAGTGAATTTAATATCAATTAAGGTAAATTAAAGTGAATTGATTATAGTATAACTAGTAAATCTTTTTTAATTATTCAGAAACAAATCATGGTAACACAACACAACACAACACAACACAACACATTCATTTCGCCTAAAATACTCTAGAAATCACCACTTGAGACTAGTTTCATCTTGCCTTACGTAAACAAAGGTCACAACTGGCAAAATCTATACCTGAGTAAAGATGTCGACATAAACATCGTTCTTAAATAAGCTATCACTCACTTGAGTATTGATCAGTGAACCTCGTTTTAAGCGACTTTCAATAATAAAATCTCTTCTTAAAATTAGTTTTAAGACAGGATTCACGACAAAGACACCTTTTAAAATGCAGGCCTAACACTTAGGACTTAATAGAGTTTCATTGAAATAGTTCTTTTAACTTAATGAATATTGTAAGATCAAACATGATCGATGTATATCTGTGTGCAAAAAAGAAATAAACAGTTAGGTAAGTTTATAGTAATTCATACAACATCCAATCCGTACTCCTCGTGAACGCTCTGCATCTCGAAATCAGGATAGCACCCAGCCGCCTCTCATTTAAGACGAAAGTTCGAGCTCGCATTTTACACACTCTCCGAGTAGCAGATTCATCACATTCTTAAAGTTTTATATGTATATGTAATGCAACAAATGTATGTGTACTTTAGTATGAATGTATGTATATCAGTCACACTGTTTCTGTCCATGTCCTTAATTATTATTTTCTGGTTAAAACAAAAAACTTAATTTCTAGTGCCAGACATTTCCCCACCACCCAAAGGTAGACTCGGAGGAAATGACTATGGCGTTATGTCCGCGTTGTACAAATAATTGTTATTTGTGAAAAAAATAATTTGATAAATTATTTGAGGATTAGAATGAATTAAATACCTTCCTTAGATCAAGATCGTGTTTTCATTGAT